ATATATAATATATAATAAAATGCTGTAATATATTATAAATATAATAATAAATTATGTACATTATATACATTATATGTAAATATTTGATATTAATCATTATACTGCGAGTATATAAATATATATGGAGAACAAAATCAAAGTTGTATCATAATTATGCGGAAAAAAATATGTGTAAAATCTAAAAGTATATATTTGATCTAGTTTTTTCTAAAAGTGACACATTTTGCAATGTATTGTCTTGCTCGAATAAACAAAAACGAAAATATGTATTAATGAAAAACTTTATCGGTTAAGTTTGATTGACTTATCGACTTGAAAAGATTTGATTCGCATGACAGCTTCGCGAATGTCGGTTATCCTTTTTCGCAAACGTGCGTTGCGACAACGGGTGTGTGACGGGCATCATGATTATTTTCTTATATGTATAGAAATGTATTATAGAAAAAGACACAACAAGCACAAACAATTTATAAAATATTAAAATTTTGTTCTTGAAATGGAAACTCGAGACTAAAAAAAAATAGTCGATAAATTATTTTTGAAGAAAACCTTGCAGTATAAAAAATAGCACAAAATAAAAAATTGTAAATATATAATGATGTAATATATAATGATGAATTGTAAATATATATGTTACAGATTAAAAAATGAATCATTTCAAAAAAAACATAAATCAAAACATTACAACAATTATTAAAAGATTAGGAAAATGTTAAGCGCAATTTTTTTGAAAAATAAAATTCATTATTAAAAAAATATCAAAAAATCATTCTGCTTCACAATTCGGTTACATCGCTTCGTTACATTTTTCGATCACCTCGGAATGTCCACCGTTATGTCATACACGCAGATCTTAACATATGGTGTCTCGTCGGTGAAAGCCTCGCGGAAGGTGATGTTGCAACCTATCAGGAGTCCATGGAGAAGAAGAAAGTATTTACGCCTGCGAAGAGACAGTCCTCTGTACACAGGGGAAGACAAGAAGCGCATTCCGAGGTGAAGATGCACACGCAATGCGAGGTGTAGGGTCGCGCATAGGCGAGGTGAAGGTAACTACCTCGCGGATTATGGTGATTGCGGCGGTGGTGGTGGAGGACTTACCACGTGCCAGGACTGCCAGGAGCAACAGCAGGGTCACGCTCCTCGAATAGCTCATCTTTCCGGCACTCAGTTCGGCTTGACTACTGTCTCTGACGGCGAAGTTGACGATTGGCGCGCACTTTAGGTGTCGGCCTCGGTACACCTCCGAACGGTCCCGTCTACTCCCTTCACTCCCTTCACCGCGGCTTTACCAAACCCCACCAGGATCCCCTTGATCGCTGTTGGTTTGCCTACGTGCTCGAGCTGCCGACCAGCAGCGCTGAGCGTGATGAATTGTCCGGGTGCCACGCTTGGATCTTTTAGTGTCGCGAGATATATCGATTTGAAGAGAGAAGAGAATTTAAGCTGAATAAATTGCCAAGCTGTTGGAGAAAGTCGAGAAAGAGTTCTTTACAATATGTACAAAACAGATGTATCAGCTAATAAATCCTGCAAAAGTATCGCGAATTAGCAGCTAATGAGAAAAGAACAATTCTGCCGAGAGTCGGAAGAAAATGGCTGAATATTTTTTGGTTTCTCTTTTGTGGCGGTGAGACATTATAAAATAAATTATTATTTTACGAATTAATTTAATTTAAAAAAAATTTAAATTTAAAAAATAAAGGTTGTCGACACATTGCTGATATAAAGACGCAAATCTATAATAAGGAAAAAAAGCTGGTAATAGTAATTGAATATTGATAAGTTAATTAATTCTAAACGATATAGCAATAATAATAGGTATGTAATAATCATCAGAAAATCGAGAAATCTATTTTTAAGTCGTTTAACACTCTCTGTACGTCTTACATAATCATTTGTATGAAACGAAGAATATTTCTTGACCGCAGAGGAGTGATTCGCGATCATCATTTTTCTAATCATTGTAATCTCTCGCGGCGTCGCGATAAATCGCGAGAGAACGCATCGCGTGTGAAAAGATGACGTTAGACTTAATGCCAAAGCACAGTCTTTCTGCACCTCTTGAAATGCCTAAGGATGCAACGTCCTCGACGCAAATACTCTGTACTGAACTATGTTGCACAAGCACGATCATTATTTTTCCGCATGCTTAATGCCGCATAGTACTTATGCGCTTTCGGTGAACGGCGGTGTAAATGGAAATATTATTGTATCATTCGACGCTTCGCATAAATAACAGTTCGAACGATCGCAATGTGTTTATAGATGTACTTGAAAGATATCGCTATTAATCAAGGGAGCTCTCTCTAATTAAGAAATTATAATTTTAATGACTTTTGTTCAAGTGAATTAAACCCATCTTGAATAGTCATTTTTTTAGGGATTAAA